TTTTCTTCTCTGTCTTGCCAATCAGAGATAGGGGTGCAGGGAGAAGTTGGCATATCATGGAGATCAGTACCTGGCTGGTGGTGTTGCCAGGGCGTGGGTTTTTATGATCACTGGTTGCTCTTCAATGAATATAGCCTATTGGGGAGAGACAGGATTCACCGTTCTAGAAGAGAAAAGAAAATCTTCAGTAGCAAATTGGCCCACTTGGTGCCTTAAACTAATGGACTTGGGGGGATAGTGTACAAAGCTGTGACACGAGCATATTCATAAGCAACAGGGTGTATGAGCACACCTAGCAGAGTAGTGAGGAATGAGGTTGCTCCTCTGCCATCTCCGAAGGCAAGAATCCTAAGTCCACCCACCTCAAGTGCATGTCTATGAAAGCATACAGTCTGGGCAACAAACAGGAGCTCCACGCCAGGTCTGAGTGTTGTTATGTCATAGGAATCACAGGAACTTGGTGGGATAGCTCACATGACTTGAAGGCCACAATGGATAGCAACAAACTCTTTCAGAGATATAGGAAGTGAAGAAAAGGGGCTAGAGTTGCACTTGAGGCGAAAGGGAAATTTCAGTATATGGAGGTGAGCTATGGAGACCACAAAAGTTCTATTGGATGTCTTTGGATCAAGATTAGAGTGATCATCACCATGGGGATCTTATGTTAGATATGCTACGGAGCTCCCAGTCGGGATGATGAGGTTGAAAGAACCCTTACTTTGGCTATTCAAGGAAGTCTCAGGCCAACAGAAGCTGGTCCTCAAGGGTGACTTCAATTACCCAGGCATTTGTTGGGAAAACAACACAGCAGTGCACAAGCAGTCCATCAGGTAGGTTCCTGGAATGCATTGGAGACAACTTCCTGCTACAGATGCTGCACATGCTGCCTATGAACAGCGCATTGCTGGATTTACTCCCAGAAACCAAGATGACTTACTTGACAACAAAACTACGAACGGTAGCCTTGGATACAGCGATCACAACATTGTGGAGTTTAAGATTCTGCTAAGCACACGGAAGACCAGTAGTAGGACAAAGACCCTGGATTTCCGAAGAGCCAACTTCCGTATGCGCAGAGCCCAGCTGTGAGTGATTCCACGGGAAGCATCCATGGATGGCAAAGGAGCTTGTGAGTGCTGGGAGTTACTCAAGAACAGCCTCCTGGAAGCACAGGAACAGTCCATCCTCTACCAAGGGAAGGGAAAAAGGCAGAAAAAGAGACCACTGTGGCTTAACAATGAGCTTTTGGGTGTTTTTGAGCTTTTTTATGCAAAAAAGTGTAGTGCCTGTGGAAAGGCAGCCAAATATCGAGCAAGAACTACAAGAACCTTCTTCTGGAGGCTGTCAAGATGCAATCATCTCATCTAGGCTTCCTCTCCCATGAAAGGTCAGACCACGTGATCTTTCGAGGTTTCTTCCAACCTGGGGTGTTCTCTGATTCTGTTTTATTTCATTGTGACAAGGCTATTAAAGCACTCTGAAGTACGGTCTTTTAACTTCATGTAACTCTATCTGCATAAATGCTATGTAGCCAAAATATGTGATGTGTTGCTTTTTTTTCAATATATGCTCAAATTGTTGTTTTTTTTTGCATATTATGCTCATTAGAGTTCTTTCTGGATGTTTGCTCAGAGAAGGAGAGTAAATAAATGGTGATTTACTGCTAGGAAATAAAATTGCCTTTAGGTGTTTATTACCTCAAATAAGCATTTCCTGTAAATAACTGTAAATGGTACCTTTTATTTTGCAGACACTATAAGAAACGTTGTCAAGGCCGGATGCGGAAACATGTTGGTGACCTGTGTTTACAAGCTGGCATGTTACAGGATTCCTTGGTGCATTATCACATGGCGGTGGAACTTCTGCGGTCTGTGAATGACTTTCTATGGCTTGGAGGTAGGATTAATTGATCACAGTGAATCAAATAATTAGTTGCTAAAACCAAGTACATCAAACTGTCTTCTATAACTTTTGTTCTATATTATGTAAGTGATTTTGGTGATCAAAATCTAAACATCAGGTGTGACTGAATTAAGTAAAAATAAAAATTAGTTAATAAGACATGAGAAAGAAATATGTTTAAGAAAACCTGCAACATGAATGTATTATTGTAGTAAAGCATATGCTTAAAAATATTGTGTGTGACTTTTTAATACTTCTCTGGAAGGTGTTTATTTTTTCAGTGGATTCCATGGATGTTTCAAAAGTCTTTCTTGTAGGTATTTACTATGGACTGTTAGAAGTTTTTTTTGCCTTTACACCTACCAAAGCCACAAGTACTCAACTTCCATGAGCATAACTTCCTTCCTTTCACATTAGTCTCCTAGGCTTCTCTTTTCCTGACTTTTCCTTCCTACTTTGCTTTTATTTTCTTCCATCCTGCTTTTTCTTTTATTTATTTGATATCAAAGTGATCTTTGAGCATAATTTCTACTTCTCAGTTTCATAGCCTTTTAGGAAAATTGCTATCTCTCGTTCTGCTTTTAGCTTTCTCATTCTACTTGGAAATCCATTTAGCTTCCTAATGGCTTTGTATGTTCCACATTGTGAAAACCATAACACCTTCTGACCTACTTGTTCCCTTCTGCTCTGTCAGAAGGTTAAATGGCTCAGGATTCTTCAAGCAGGAAAGGAGAACTTTTCTCCTGCAGGGTGTGGAAAGACTTTAAGGCCCATCTGTTGCGCTAGCAAATTAGACTTACAGACTCAGAATAATTTGGATTGGAAGTGACCTTTGTAAGTCCCCAAGTCTGATGTCCTGCTCATATCACATCCAGTTAAATCAGGTTGCTCGGGGACCTGTTCAGTTGAGTTTTAGATGTATTTAAGGACTAAAGTTCTACAATCTGAGCAACCTGTTCTAACATTTTGCTGCTCGTAGTTTGAAACTCCCCCCCCCCCCCCCCCCCCCCCAAACCACAAATTGTTCCTAAATTGAAGCAGAATTTCCTGTGTCAGTTTGCATTGGGCCCCATTCCGTTTGCACACCTCTGAGAAGCAGCTGATTCCATCTCTTCTGCACCTTCTCCCTGGGTGTTTAAAGACAGCAATAAGATCTCCCCTTACCCTCTTGCTCTTTAAGGCTGAACAAACCCAGTTCTCTCAATTTCTCATCTATCATGGGCTCCAGCCCCCTGACCCTTTTGATGGCTTTCCACTGGACTTGCTTCGGGATGTTTTATGTTTCTTTTTTTCTTTACTCTCCAGCTGCTCTTGAGGGGTTATGCTCAGCATCAGTCATCTATCATTATCCTGGTGGTACTGGAGGTAAAGTTGGATCTCGCAGGGCACAAGGAGGTTCTCTTTCTGCTGAGGCAGGCAACAGGCACAGACCAGGTAAGGACAAGATTTAGTTTTTATTATTTTTGCCGCCACTGAACATCTGAAAATTTCCTCCCTACTTCCTAACTCTATCCTGTCATTGGTATAATTTTAAAAACTGAAGTGTGGTGGGTGGGAGGGGAGAACTGTATTTCTTTTTAAGATTTTTACATTAACGACTTTTCTAGTATTTTGGTATTAATGTCGAGATGTGTGCCTTGCATAGAGTTGCAAAGCTTTTGATCTCTTCATCTGCTTGTTAACAGTGTCTGAGTTATTTTGAATTTTACTGGAAGAGATGCAGACTTTTATTAAAGTACATATGATGTGGCAGAGCTGCACATGTTGAGTAAGTTAGGTACATTTATTCAGAGCTGTTCTGCTATTCTAAACTCAATATGAAACAAATAGATTTGGTTAACTAAATACCAATAAGCCAACATAATTTTTAAGATTTAGTGTATTTTTTCTAAACTCTCAGATTGCAAAACTAATATGGTGATAGTATTAACATTGGTGTAATAGACATTCTTTGAGAAACGGCCCGCTTAAACTATTTTAGGAATTACTAGGAGAGTAACAGAGAGAAAAAAAAAAAATCATTAAGTCTACGGTTCACCTGCATCTGGAATATTGCATGCCATTTCAGTTTCCCAGCATAAAAGGGTGTTCATAATCCCATCTCCCATTTTTCTACTGGAAGGAGGTTGCAAGTGGGCAACAAAGATGATCTTTGTATGGTTTCTATACAAAGAATAACTGAATAGCCTAGAACTTTGAAGTTCTGCAAAAGGGATGGCTGAGGAGAACTATGAGAGAGCTCTATAATAGGGCGAATGTTGTGGAAGAGGATGGATAGGGATCAGAGGCTCAGTGTTTTTTCTGATAGAACTAGAGGACATCAAATACAGCTAGCAGATGGAAAAGCAAATGAAAGGAATTATTCTTTATCCAATTTATAGGTGTGATGTGGAACTCCTTGCTAGGAGTTACTGGATCTGGTAGCATGGTAGAGGCGAGGCTCACACAACTCCTTGTCCCCAGGGCCAGCCAGTTGTGAAGCTGCGCATGCATTCCCAGTAGGTGTACATGTGCGCGCACACACACACACACGGCCACACAGTCCAACATGGATGGAAAACACAGCGGTCGTAAACAGAGACAGCACTAACAGCCTGATCCCCTCTCTCCGGCTCATCAGGATGAAAGCCTGTTAGTAGTATGGATCTCTCCAGTAGCTGGTTTTAGTCACTCAGGCTGTTCAGCACCTGGCTGCTGGAATGCCAGGTCTCACCAGTTACTGGCACCTGGACCTACAAGCTTCCGAGACCCAGAGCCCCATTCCAGTTGTTGGTACTTAAGCCTACAGACACACACACACACACACACATGCATTCCCCCTTATCCCTCTATTTTTCTGTGCTTGTTCCTTCCTAAACTGCCTTGATCCCTCCTTTTCCCTGTCTTCGGTTCATCCCCTATATATCCCATAAGAAATCTTGTACAATCCCAAGATGTTCTTTCCGTGTATCCTGTAATGAGTCCCATATCCCTGTAGGTAGTAACCCTCTGCTCATATTAACTGATCTTCATGGGTTCCACCCTTGGATGGCTCTTTTGGATCTGATTAAGTTCTTGGCGTTCAGTTGACCATCACTGTTCCTCTGTACTCCTTTGTGTTTGTGGAGATGGGCCTTTAATTGCAACCTAACACTTGGCACACGGTGTTAAGGCTCCTGTAAGGTTCTATGGCTTCCAGGAGAGGCTGTGTCGTGGTTTAAACCCAGCTGGCAACTGACCACCCTGCAGGCGCTCACTCATCCTCCCCCGTCCCAGGGAATTGGGAAAGAATTGGATTATCCCTCCAAGGCTCATAGGTTGAGATAAGAACAGCTTAATACTTGAAATAAAATCAAATTAAAAATAATGATAATAAAAATAATAGAATATAGAAGTGAATGATATACAGTGTAGCTGCTCATCACCTGCTGACCAAGGCCTAACCCAATTCTAGCTAGTGATCATGGAGGAGAGAAAATCCCAAAACTGCAATCCTGGAAAAGTGAGAGAGACAACTTCCCAGCTGACCCTCAGTTAGATACTGAGTATGACATTGTATGATATGGGATGTCCCACTGGCCAGTTTGGATCCATTGCTCTGCCCATGCTCCCTCCCAGCTTCTTGGGCACCTGCACACTGGCAAAACACGAGAGGCTGGAAAGTCCTTGGTTTCTTAACAACGACTAAAACCATCAGTATATTTTCAACATTCTTCTCATACCAAATCTCATACTGAATCCAAACCACAGTGCTGTTCTATGTTCTAAAAATAAAATTAGCTCTAGCCCAGCTGAAACCAGGACAGGCTGGCTAGGATAGTGTAAGAAAACTGTATCAATTATTATAAGCTAGATGGGCCTTTGGTTTCTATGTATATATTTTGGTTCTTAGACAGTACTGAAACAGACAGAAAGTGGATTTAAGTGCTGATGTGTAAGTACTCTTTAGCGCAATGTGATCACAATTATTTCCTTCCTCGAAAAAAACCAGCCACCCATCTTTATTCATCTATAATTCACAATCTAGTGAACACTTCCTTTGTTATCATCTTTATTACAAGCTGGATGTGTTGACACCAGATAATTGTGATAGTAAAATTACCTTATTTTGGGAGAGAATACGGATCTTTCATATAATATCTAGTCATTAAAATCTGTGCATCAGGTCCCATGACCTATGAGTGCATTTTCTGTTGGCTGTTATGGTATAATTTCACACAGTTATTAACCTTTGTCCATTTTTCAATGAATATTTAAGAGTAAGTGTCACAATCTGTTTGTAATGGGTTCTCCTTGTTACTAAAGAAGGTAATGAATAAGTCCCAGCTATCAGAATAACAGAATAAAATGTATTTTGGGTATATTATTGCTGCTGCTCTATATAAGTTGTTTTATAATTCAAAGTCCTGTTAGCAAACTTGTTAGTGTGGTCGTATTTTAAAAATGTTTCAGTTTCATATGACAAGATCTTTCAAGGGACTTTTGTGTGAAGAAAAACAGATTACAGGTTTTTTTTGTCATCCCAAATAAAAGTATTACTTCATGGTCCATTAGATATTGTTCCCTAACTCTAGTTATGATCTCTTGGTGTTTTGAGATCTGAACTGCTGAACTCTCTCTAGCCGAAAAACTATTGTTGTGATGTCTTTTTCCTCCAAGGTTTTCTGAAGGTTTCTTTTAAATACCTTTTCTTTTGACTCTGCACTGCCTTTCATTTGAAATCTTTTTGAACTGCACCTTTGTTTATAATCTACTTTGTTATAATTAGTTTTGTGAGGGCAGGATTTAGTCTGGGGAACAAATACCAGTGTGTCTTTCTGTAATGTAAGGCCAGAAACAAAAAGGGTTTCCAAATTGAAAATGCCAAATTCAGAAGAGAATTAGTTGATACCACAGTGTTTAAAGTACTTGTCTGAGGTGTTATGTATCTGATGGTCCAACTTCTTTACCATGCTCTTGGGAACTCTTTTGTGTGAATAATGTGGCTTGTTGGGTTGGCATGACTCGGTTATTCAGAAAATTTGATGGAGTTAAATTAATTACAATTGAAAGGGATACAATTACTTGAAAATGTTATTCTAGAGTATTGTATAGATTAAATGAGCTCTACAAGGATATTTAAGTACTGTAGGACCAGACACTAAAAAATATACGAAGTGGATTGTGCCAACTAAAAAAAGAATAAAGGATGAAAAGGATATGGCTTTAATTTATACACTGAAAATTCTTCAATTCTTCTTGATGTGTTTTGGAATTCATTCCAAGATGACAGATTTTTACATTCATTTTTTTAATAAAATGAGATTTAACATGTGATGACTACTTGAATTACAATTGGTAGTCCTTCAAAATAACAACGATGATCCTAATAAATCATATAATTTTGTTCAAGTCTGATGTTGGTTATAAAACATTATGAAAGCTTATTTTGTTGGCTATATTTAAGGCTGAAAAAAAAATCGTTTTTGTTCCTCCTTTTAGGGGCACAAGAAGTTCTCATTGATCCAGGTACATTATTTTAATGCATGTTTCCAAAGTGTTTTCTTTTATTAGTTGCATATGTTTTGCATTTGTATAGATAGTTACTGCCACTTGCCAAAACTGGTACTGATTCCTGATGCTTCAGTTTTTGGCTATAAGTCATGAGGAAGCAAAGAGACTGAAGGGTAACTGGCACAAAATAAAAGGGATGTAATTACATTATTGTGTCCCTGTGAATTCTAATCAAGATGGTTTCTCCTCATGAGCAGTAAGGATTTTTAAATTGTTTTTAACTGTCAAACCTGAATAGTCACATGTAGCCTTGCAGGCTCATGGTACTCTTTCAACCATCACCATCACAAAGGTTTTGCACTTAAGTTCCGTAAAAACCCTGAAGTGTTAATCTACAGATGTGCTTGGTCTGATTATTTGAGGTTTATAAACATATAAAAAGGTTGTTTTAGCATTTGAACATGTAAAAAGCCCCATACTTCTGAATATATAGAGGGAGTAGACAGGACCTTTCACAGTGGTTTTAAATATCTATTGAGAGTTAGGTCCGGCTCTGAAACATAACTATTTATTTGCCATTTTCATAGAGAAACCTCTTGGAGAAATAAACTGCCATATAATCCTACAGATTAAGTAACATAAAAAGGTATAGAGCCTTGCCAAACATTTGATGTATGTTTTCAATTTTACTATGTTAACTCTGCCATAAAATTAAATTCTAGAAATAAATTTTTCATGTTTTTTGTAATACCCCAGATTTCCTTGGCTTCTGTTTCAGATTCTTATCCCCTATGTATGTAAATACTCTTTCTGTCTCTCGCCTTCTTTCTTATATAAGAAAAACAATTTATTGCTGTTTTGTCTGAGCCTTGGCTATTTTTTTTTTTTTTTTTTTTAGTGTGGAAGGCTCGGATTTGACGGCCTTTGTTAGAATATAACACTTGGTTTTCTGTGATTAGACATAGGGAAGACAAGTGTTTGTTTTAAGTGATTGGAGGAGAGGGTCACTGCTCTAATAATTAGTTTACAAAAAATTGCACATTTTTTTAGGTGTGCTTTAGAAATACAGTTGTTAAGTAGAACAGGGAATAATTCAAAGATTAAACGTGCACACTCAGATGTGGCCATAATCTAATTTTAGCAATCTAATATTTTATTCATAGTCTAAATATTCAGATAAGTGTAAAAGTATGAATTTCTTTTCACTAATTGAAAGATTGGTTCCTGTTTGGTTTATAATTGAATCTGTTTTTCCATTTTTCATTTGTGCTCTTTAAAATAGCATAGTAAAACAGAACTAGTGTTCTCCAGGTAGGGCATGATTTCTTTCTAGGTAGAACAAGTATTCTTTGTGTATCCTTTGATCAAGCCTACAGCATATCCTAGTTTTTTCTTAGATATTCAGTATTTGCTAAAAGTCCTTCTGCTAATTTTTTTTACCCTCTTCTGTTCTAGGTGCGCTGACTTCAAATGGTATAAATGCAGATACCAGTGCTGAGATAGGACGTGCCAAGAATTGCCTTAGTCCTGAAGACATCATAGATAAATATAAAGAAGCCATTTCTTACTACGGCAAGGTAATCCTATCCTACTTATTTTTGAGAAACTTCACTGAAATTCTTGTGAATAATGGAACTGTTTTGGTTTCAGAGGATCTTTTAAAGCACGTGCAATAAAGTTTGTAAAACTTATGATAATGAAAGAAATAGGAATAATTTTTATTGCTGAATTAAGTGCTTAGTTCTAGTTTTAAGTGCAAAAAGATATTTATATTTCGATTATTATCGTATACCTTATGCTTTCAGCAAGTAATAGCTGTGCTTCTCTGCAGCTTCACTTGCAAAGAGCTTTGTCTCGCGAGTGATCTGTAATTGTTCAAGACGAGCATAGTTAGCTTTTATCTGTTCAAGACCTACAGAGTAATTCCTAGATCTAATGCTGAGAAAGCAGCACCTTCTATGTGTTTTTCTATGTTATCACTGAGCTTAAGAAACTTTTGTAGCATCTTCTAAAATGGATTCAATCTCCAGTGATTTGTTTTTGCTGATATAAATGCACAAGAGCGGAATATGTAACTGCTTTGGTGGAGTAACTCTTGCATTTTGTTCTGAAGTTTATTTCCTCCATTAGATTTCAAACATGATAAATACCTGGACAGAGTTTACCTTAAGCAGGAGACAGGCTGATGCAAATATCCAATATTGGTATTGTTTGAGGAAAAAAACAGATCAGATTGTTTGTCTGGGTTTGTTGTCTGAGATGAAGCAGATCAATGCTTATCTACATTGTCTCCTGCCTTTCTTAAGCAAGCTAAATAACAGAAACAGTCATTTACAGAAAATGATTTATAAATAGATATTGGAAAACTTGGAATGGTTTGTAATTCACTTGTCATCAGTGATCCTGTTTTAACTAAAGAGAAAGCTGATTCAGTGAAACTCAAGTCCTTTTGCTACAGCTTCCTGTGCTATATAGTATATTTTGTAATAAGTAGAAGAGGCAAAATTAATTGTTTATTGTGGTAGAACAATTTTAGGTGGTGATGAATTACTGTAAAACTGACCTTTTTGCTTACATACCTACTGCACTGAGAATGTAGAATTTCTTCCTTTGTTGCAGACACAGCCACCATACATATGGGGTTATCCAAAATGATACTAATATTCCCAACTTTTCTCCTCATCTGAATTCTCAGACTGAAGCTGTGCTGTGTCTCAGAATAGGAAAAGTGAGAGAAGAGGCTGAAAACTGTTGTTTTGCATAATAACATTTTAGATGACACCTTAATTTTCACTTGGGCATATGTGGATAATTTAACAATATAGTCACTAACATTAAGGAATTGCTGGGTTTGGAAGATGTGACAACTGATTTATGTGTTGAGCAGAAAAATGTATCAAATCTAACAGGTGCAATACTTCAATATTATTTTAATTTTCTCCCTCTTCAAGTACAAGAATGCTGGTGTGATTGAACTGGAAGCCTGTGTGAAGGCAGTGAGAGTCCTTGCAATACAGAAAAGGAGCATGGAAGCCTCTGATTTTCTTCAGAATGCAGTTTATATCAACCTTCGTCAGGTTCGTGCAGAAAGTCCAGTTATTTTTCTCTTCTCGTTGGAGAGATTGTACTGAAGTGTGAAAGCTTCTTAGATTCAGGAGACTCCAGTTTATTTTCTGTATCACTACCTTCTTTCTCACTAGAACTTGACTTCTGAGGATTTTCACATCTGTGAGTCTGGTTTAAAAGGTATTCAGAGTTCATCTAAAAACATGAGGATTTAGTTTGAGATTAAAGACTCTATTGGTTATTCTCCTGTGTGAAGAAAAAAAATCCCATTGTTCTATCGTGGTGATGTACTAGGGAAAAATAGCTGCTTGGGACAGATCTGCAATGGATTTCTTTTTTTTTTTTTTTGATTGTATCTTGTTTAGTGAAACTGGGAGCAAATCAGGAGTGGCCTGTTGCAAAGTGAGCCGAATAGTCTGACTAGTGTTGTTAATTGATTTTTTTCATTGTGCAGTGTGAAGTCTTGGTTATGCCAAATCAGAAAGGAATTCAGAGGAGAAAATCAGTATTTGGAACTGTGAGAAAAATGCTCAGTATCACCACAAAACAAGACTTAACACTTTGTCAGTGTGTCGAGCCTGGTGTCACTGGTTACGGAGAGACTGCTGTGGTTGAAAGAATTAATGAAAAGCTGTTAGGTTTCTTACTGTTTTTCCTTTTTGGCTTGTTACACCTTGGTAAGACTAGCAATTTAAGTCCACACCATTGAGTTTATTAAGCCCAGATGGGGAGGGTAAATTTATGAGGGAGTTAGAATACTTTCTTTCATTTGTGGAGAATCCTTTCTGTGGAGTCAATTTACTAACCCAACATAAACCAGAAATTAATTACTTTTGATAAGCTATCATAAAAAGCATCAGTTTTGCTGCAGAGTACCTTAACTGCCATAATCCTTGCAGTGCTAAGGGCCTTCTCTTTAATTCTGTTGTCTGTCTTTTGCTCACAGCTCTGTAGCCTTCCATGTAAGCTGCTGTGGCAGTATTTTTCTCCTGTTGTTCTTGCGCTGTTATTCTCGGGGCTTGTGACCTCCAATGTTGTTTTTCTGAAGGAAGCAATTACTGTCATTGTGAGACTCACCTGTTCTCCTCCCTGACACCACTGATGTTGCAACTTTCACTTTATATCAGAGGAAAAAAAAAAAAGATGTAGTGAATGGCAAAGTATATAAGTAATTTAAATAGCTGATAAGTATTAGCTAATAATGCAAATGCACAAAGCTTGGCAGCTAGTCAGCATGAAATGTGTGTCCGGATCAAAGCTTGCCTCAGTGAACTGTAATAGTGTCCCAAATAGAAACAACTAAGAGTTTGGGTCCTGATGATATGCACCTAGTGAAAAAGGGTGGTGAGAAGTCATCATTGTCTGCGTCACCTGCTGTGTTTGAGAGAACCAGAGGAAGGTGTTCTGGAAGCCCCACTGCTTTTCTTCCTAGCTGGCTGGTCTCTTTCTCTTTGCTTTGTTTTTTCCCTCAAGGAACTTTGAACTTGATGTGTGCCATCAGCTATTGACCCTGCAAATAAGTCCTTGTGCATGTAAAGCATGCTTCAGTGTGCATTGTCATGCTACATAAAATATGTTCTATAAATGCCAGATCTCCCACTGTCTGGAAAACCTTGAAATAAAAATTGGGTACATTATGTATTTTTGTTGTAGCTCGGTCAGAATTTAAGGTGTTAATGCAGATATCATCTAGCAACCTTCAGCAAAGTGTTTGAGAGTGTTTCGCACAGCCTTCTTCTGAACAAACGAGATACAGGCTGGATGGGTGGTCTGCAACATGGGCAGGAAGCTGGTTAACTGGCACAGTCAGAGGTTTGTGATCAAAGGTTTTTACTTGGGCTGACAGCCTGTCACAAGGGATCGATACTGGGCCCCCCCCCACGCTGTTCAACATCTCCAGAAATGTTCTGGATGATGGGATTGATGATGACACCAAACTGGGTGGGGAGGTGGACACATGAGAAGGGAGAGCCATTTTATAGAGAGATCTGGACAGGCTGGAAGAGTGGGTTAGCAAAAACTGTGTGAGGTTTAACAAACGTGAGTGCAAAGTCCTGCACCTGGGATGACATAACCAAAGAGCCCAGGACAAGCTGGGGTCTCTCTATGTCTGGGGAGCAACTTTGCTGAAAGGGACCTGGGGGTCCTGGTGGACAACAAGCTGAACAGGAGTCAGCAGTGTGCTGCTGCAGCAACAAAGGTGAATCGGATCCTGGGCTGCATCTGCAGGGACATTGCTAGCAGAGACAGAGATGTGATCATCCCCCTCTGTCAGCCCTTGTTGGACCACACCTGGAGTACTGTGTCCCATTCTGGTCCCCACAGTTCAAGAAAGACATGGACAGACTGGAGTGGATCCAAAGGAGTGCGACAAAGGTGATTAAGGGCTGGAAAACTTGCCTGATGAGGAAGGAAAGACTAAAGGAGTTAGGTCTTTTTCTCCCTGGAGAAAAGAAGGCTCAGGGGGGATCTCATCACAGTATTCCAATACTTAAAGGGCAGCTACAAAGAGGATGGAGACTCTTAAATTGCAAAGAGCCACATGAAGAAGACAGTGGGTACAAATTTCACTGGGAGAGGTTTCATTGCAATATAAGAAAAAAAAAATAGAGCAATGATTCACTGGAACAACCTCCCCGAGGACACGGTAGGGTGTGCATTGCTGGAGATTTTCGAGATGCTAGTGGACAGGGTGCTAGATCTCATCTAGGCTCCCTTTCCCACAAAAGGTTGCACCAGAGGATCTTTCGAGGTCCTTTCCAACCTTGTCTGTTCTGTGATGATTCTGTATCACTGAGTGTAACTCGATAATTTATACAACATGGGAGATCAAACTAGATAATGATGGTACTCAGTAGATGTATTCTAGAAAAAAATATGTTAAATTGGATAATAAGGAGCGTGATCGTTTTTCATCTCAGGTGATATTGGTAGTCACAGATATTTTTTTTTTAATTTAATCATATTAATAGTTTGGGTTGGGTCTTTTCCACTGAATCTTCTGCTGTACCTTGTATACCTAATGATCACTTGTTCATTTGCTGATGTCAGCTGTATCTACTATTATCATTATGTCACTGTAGAAGTCCAGTATATGGTTGCTTGAAAAAAAACCAATACAGACATGTTGACAGTACCGATTATTTGGGCATTGAGGTGCACTGCTGAGCTGAGAACCATTCTTCACCTTTATTGATTTCAGTCAAGGATGACTTTCATCTATCTCATAACTGCACATCTACTATTTTGTCATTTTCTTGGGTGGAAGTGTTTCTAGAAAGCATTATTATGTGAAATATAAGTAAGATAATATTTCCAGTGTTGGGGAATGTATTTTGTATAAAGAGGGGTATGGCTGGGAATTATTTTTATGGCTCTTCAAGATTAACTGTATATAACATGGGAACAGATAATAGTTTTATTTATAATTGGACTAATTTAAAGGAGGATTCATCCTGTGATAGGTTAGGGAAACAAACTGTAGGACAGTGTTGTTTCTCTTTCATGTAGATAGAACATCAGCAGAACTAGTATTTGACAGCAGAAAAAACACCTCACAGGATGAAGTGTATGTGTCTGATAAACAGGAAAACTGGTTTCTTTCTTCATATTCCATCTCCAACTCAGGCTAGTAACATTATGTAATTGGTGTTTTCTGATTATAGGAGGGCTGCAGGGTAATAAGACTTCCAGTTACAAGGAAGAAATTGTAACATCTAATTACAGAGAAAGTGAGATTACAGAAGTTTAATATAGTAAGGAATAATGAAATAAACAAATAACAAGCTGCTCTCTTGAAAGCCTGTCTTAAAACAAGCCTGTGAAAAAAACTGGCTCAGTTGTTTGGATAGTGAACTACAGACTTTACAGTTGCAATTGCTAACTTGGTTTGTTTTAACAGTTAAATGAAAATTAACCAGATGGAAAAGATGTGCTTCAGGTGTTGGCTATTTGCAGCCACTTTATAGTCCTTAAGCGTTTATACATTTGTAAGGTCAGAAAAGTTGTTTGTGAATGCTACACTAATGGCCTGCAGAATGCCTGCTGCACTCTTCCCAGAATTAAGGAGTATGTGTGTGGGTTTGGTTGTTTGGTCTTTGTTTGTTGTTTGTTTTTTTTTTTTTTTTTTCTTTTTTCTTTTAAATCCCTGGGTGGGAACGACACTGTATGTGCTGAGGGAAAACACAATTGCACCATCTTGGTGGTGATGAGATTTCTCTTGCAACTGCAGAAAATATTTGACTAACTTTGTGGACGATTGTTAAGCAACAAGTTAGGTAGCAGTGTTAAAAACTTACTCAGATATGATAAAAATAAAACTTTCTGAGATTCTGTTGCCTCTGATAGTTGTTCCAATTATTAGTGAGCGCTCACGTCTACCTAAATAGCATGACCCTGTCTGTTCTTATCTTAAATTTAGTTTACATAGATATGTGAACATTGACAGTATTATGTATTTGTTGAATAGCTTTTTTTTTTAAGCTTTCTAACTTTAGTATGTGATCATGTGCTTATGCCCTTTTCAACTCTGCTGCTGTATTTTATTATTGTTATAATGTTTTTAAAATGACATAAATGGAAAAAAGACCGGGGGGGGGGAGGAGGAGGTGTTTTTCTGCTAGAGAAGATAAACTTAATCTGACACCTCATGTTCTTTCTGAAGGATTCTGATAAACTGGTTTAGAATTGTTCTGTATTTTATTTTTGTGCCTCGTGTTCTTTCTAGCTGCATTGATTCATGACAGTTTTCAGTGTGGTGCATTTGCCTCTTTACAATTGTTGTGACAGGGATTGGTCTTCTATATGGATGGGTGGTATTTTTGCATTGGGCGTCATCTTATGTTGTCAGTTCTAAGGGAAATAGCAACTTCAGCTTCAGAAATTGTCTGAAACTTTCTAAAATGATATGCAAGTCCATCTGTCTGTGTCTCTTCCTATCCTGAAGCAGTAAGATTTGAACTGTCATCACAGAATGGTTTGGGTTGGAAGGGACCTTAACCCAATTCCCACCCCCCCTGCCATGGGCAGGGACCCCTCCCACTAGCCCGGATTGCTCAAAGCCTCATCCAGCCTGGCCTTGAACACCTCCAGGGATGGGGCATCCACAGCTTCTCTGGGCAACTTGTTCAGTGTCTCACCACCCTCACAGTAAAGAATTTCTTCCTGATATCTAACCTACCTCTCCCCTCTTTCAGCTTAGCTGTTACCCCTTGTCCTCTCACTACACTCCCTGATAAAGAGTGTTTCCCCCATCTCTCCTGTAAGTACTGGAAGGCTGCTATTAGGTCTCCCTGGAGCCTCTCTTCTCCAGGCTGAACAACACCAACTCTCTCAGCCTGTCCTCGTATGGGAAGTGCTTCAGCCTTCATGGCCCTCCTCTGGACTCACTCCAACAGGTCCGTGTCCTTCCTGTGCTGAGGACTCCAGAGCTGGATGCAGTACTCCAGGTGGGGTCTCATGAGAGCAGAGCAGAGGGGGAGAATCCCCGCCCTTGACCTGCTGGTCACGCTTCTCTTGATGCAGCCCAGGACACGGTTGGCCTTCTGGGCTGCGAGTGCACATTGCTGGGTCATGTTGAGCTTCTCATCAACCAGCACCCCCAAGTCCTTCTCTTCAGGGCTCCTCTCTATCCATTCTCCTCCCAGCCTGTATTTGTGCTTGGGATTGCCTCGACCCACGTGCAGGACCTTGCACTTGGCCTTGTTAAATTTCCTGAGGTTTGCATGGGCCCACCTCTCAAGCCTGTCCAGGTCCCTCTGGATGGCATCCCTTCCCTCCAGTGTGTCCACCACACCACACAGCTTGCTGTCATGGGCATACTTGGTGAGGGTGCACTCAATTCCACTGTCCATGTCTCCAACAAAGATGTTAAACAACACTGGTCCCAATACTGACCCCGATGCCACTCATTACTGCTCTCCATTGAGCTGTTGACCGCAACTCTTTGAGTCCAACCATCCAGCCAATTCCTTATCCACTGAGCAGTCCAACTGTCAAATCCACGTCTCTCCAATTTAGAGACAAGGATGTCGTGTGGGACAGGGTCAAATTCTTTGCACAAGTCCAGGTAGATGACAGCAGTTGCTCTTCCCTTTTCCACCAATGCTGTAACCCCGTTGTAGGCCATCAGATTTGTCAGGCACAATTTGCCCTTGGTGAAGCCATGTTGGCCGTCACCAGTCACCTTATTTTCCACGTGTCTTAGCACAGTTTCCAGGAAGATCTGCTCCATGATCAGATAACATCATGATGCCTTCTGAAGACTCTAAGCTGCTTTGAGGTCTCTCATATCCCTATGTCCAAAATTAAAAGTGACTTTTGAAAACAGACTATTTTTTTTTGTAATTATGTAAGGATTTAAGTGACTAAAAGATGTTTTGAAGCTTCATTTATAAGACCTAACTATTTCTGTAAAAGCTACCTACTGTGACTAGCATCTTCTTTTGACTTTCCAAGGCTTTCAGTATCTGAAGTTAAATGCACAGAATCCACTGTTTGATACTTTCAGTTTTGAAGAATGAGTTGCAGAAACACTGTTTCTGCCCTTTAGTGCTATTTTCTTATGAAGTTTGTAATTTTAAGCACCTTTGCAAAACATGTGGGCGGCTTTAGAGTAATTTAAAATAATTTTTATCGGTTTTGGTTGTACATTCCAGATACTGTGCACTAGGTGTCAGCATTGGTCCACCTTCAGAACTCAATATTGGTTGTTACTGGGATGTAGACTTGAAGTGGTTGGTACATTCCGAGTTTCTGTGGCAGGTGCTGTTTGGCTGTCTAATTTCAAAGCAAGATTGTAATTCAAAGCAGAGGGGAAAGAATGGTTACTTGGGGCTGGTGCTAATATATTGATAAGCTAAAGAAGCACATGTTGGAAGTTACTCATCAAGTTTGCTTCAACTTTAAGCGTAATAGGGCTTCACTTTTCACTAAATTCTTCCTCACTCCTTGGCAGTCTGCATATGTATAATATCACAGAATTAAATTTTTATGGTTTACAAGATGTGAGACGTATAAAAATTCAGACAGTAGTTTTTTTGCTTTCATAGCCTGAGATTTCCAGATTAATAATTACATTTAATCTTAAAGGGATGAAAGTGTTTAACTTGGTAAATCAATAGATTTTGGAAGTGGTAAGTTTTTGTGGTGTTGTTATGCACATAAATATAATGTTTAATATCTGCCATAAAACGTGGAGATGTTTGGCTGTTATTCTGTGTTTTGACTCTTTACTTGCTAGTACTACTGACAAATAAGTTGCTAAAGAACTGCTGCTTTTGTTAGCTGTTGAACTTGAAGCGAGCTTAAGTTTTCTGGCAGTAGAAGCTGTCATGAGTGTCTATATGCAAAATCACTGACCTTCTGTAGTGTTGGAGATAGGTCTACTACATTTTTTTCCCTCCTGTTATGTTTTTTTTAAACTCAGATACATGCTTTAAAATTTTGATTAAAACCAATCCTTTTCTCTTTTCCCTTTAAATTTCAGCTTTCAGAAGAAGAAAAAATCCAGCGTTACAGCATTCTTTCGGAGCTGTATGAGCGTATTGGTTTTCACCGAAAGTCAGCTTTTTTCAAGCGTATAGCAGCAATGCAGTGCGCTGCACCTAGCATCCCAGAACCCGGGTGGAGGGCCTGCTACAAACTGCTTTTGGAAACTCTCCCTGGCTACAGCTTATCATTGGATCCTAAAGATTTCAGCAAAGGTAAATGTCTCTGAGAAAGTATGGATTAGCATAGTAGGTCACTTGACTCGCTTTCTATAACTAATTTCCTTGAGAGATTTCAAATTAAACCAAAATAATTTACCTATCTGAAACTAATTGTGTCAAATAGAACAGTTCTTTACCACTGTACCTTCACTTTTTTTAGTGTTGCTTTCAATATCTTCAAATTTGTGTGAGCCACTGCTGACTGTTGCTGTATTCCTGTTTGTGACAAATAATTACATTTTATTTATGAGAGCTTTGATTCTATGCTTCTTAAAAAAAAATCTTTGTTTTTGACTATATACTTCTCAGTACAGAAAAGGTAATTTTTTTTTGAGTATTTTTTTAATTGGAGTGCCTTCAACTTGTGTATTGGAAATTGTATTTCTTTTGGTATTTGTTGCTGTTTGATATTATAATGAAAGGATGAAAGGTTATTTTTCATATTTTTGTATATAGACACACACATGCACATAATGTAATTATATCTTTATCCGTAGGGTTAAATATGTCATATTTTTCCACAAATGAGATCAGTGATGTTATCTGTAAGACTAACATTTGGTTAAGACATTTCAACAGTTTTTAGATACTATATATCATTTGAATTACTCTTTTATTGCATCTATTAAAAAACAAAGGAGAAATAGTCTGTAAGAATATGTGCCAGTTCTTGTAGCTGTTAACTACCATGTTCACTTTCTGCAAGTTATGTCCTGCTTGCTGCTCTTCTCTAGGTAAGCTATGTTTCAAAAACTTTATCAGTGTTATCTAAAGCTGTGTATGAAGTAATAATTCTAAAAGTTGTCTTGATTTTAGTATACCATGCTGCATTTTTCCTCTACAGGAAGAGACAGCTAATATGCTGCTTGGGAACTCCTTTTGAGTAAACCTTTCCATGTAGCCCAAAAACTTGCATTTTTTTTGTATAGTAGCATTTTTGGGGACCATTTACTAAATGTTGTAGCTGCAGGATTGGAGTAGCAAGCAATGGGCTGAGCATGTGTTTGTGGAAAAGAGGTGGAGTTTACCTGTAAAACTCTGAACAGGTTTAAATATGAATGAACGGCAGCTGGAATATTCTTCTCCCTTTTGTGAGAGTACATTGACTACTGTTGGGATTCCAGTTTGATGTTGTTTTTTAAGTTCAGTTGTAAGTTTAGTTGTTTCTGTATATGCGAGGTCGCTTAGCCTTTGAAATAATGGAGCCAGCTGGTCAATTCAGTCAAGGGAGAAGATGGAAAAACTCATCTGATTAGCCACTAGGTGATATTTTCCAAGCTCTCTCAGCCCTGTTGACGAAACATGCATGTAGACAACCCACTGTATGTGTGGATAGTTAGTGTTTTTTTTTTTTTTTTTTTTTTTTTTTTTTTTTTTTTTTTTTTTAACTGGGATGGGACTGTGTTGAGAGAAGAGGTTGCAGAAGTTCTGCAAGAGGTGACAAAAAAAGAAGTGACATGTTTGGTGGGTTTTTTTAAATTTTTACCTATCTTTACAGTGCACTGAAGTGCTTTATCAAATTTTACACCTAAAATAGCTGTTTCACAGACATATGGAAAGATCACTGTAAACTGCTATTTGATAAGAATGACATTTCACACATGAAAAATAATGAGAGTCTTGTGTGTAAAACATAAACTCTCAAGGTTTGGGTGCAGTAAATATTTCTAGAAAAGTTTTCCAAATGTAATATTAGAAGGAAGACTGTTTAGAAGTTTATGAGGTATTGCACATCTTGGAATATCTGTTATTTAAAAATTATTACTATTGCTTATATTGCTAGTGCAAGGTAAGTTTCATGAAGAGTATTACATATTAAGTTCTTGAAAGTAAAGTTACATTATGATAATCTATTTATTGTTACCATAGATACTTTGCAAACATTAGACAATTTATAGTCCAAAGCTTACTTTCTAAAAATTGAAAATCGGGAAATGTGCCTCTTGTCCTCTAGTTTTGTTGTGTTTTACTGACTTTTAACAGCCAGAAAAGCATTTAGAGAAAATAATATTTTGCTTGATCTTTAAAGAAGTTAGGAAGTACTTGTTTTGGATAAAAATGAAGTTTTTGTATGAAATCTCATGTATTTCTTGTTCAGAGGATTTAAAAAATACAAAACTTTAAAGATTTTATGTAGTGTTTTGTTTTTACTTCATAGGAAGTGTTAACTTCATTTTCTGAATTCTAATGAAAAATGTATTAGTTGCTAGACAAGCATATAAAATAAAAATTGTTTTCACATTTAAATATTCATGCAACCCAAGGATCCTAATTTTTCATTTGTTTTGAGTACAAGATTTGGATTTTGTAATTACTGGTTCTTTTGGGTGTTTTTTCGAGTGTCATTAAATGACTGCTTAGTATATAAAGAAGACCAAAACTAATTGGTTTGTGATGACTTCTGGCTTTAAAAAATATCAAATGACTGCTTACTTTATAGGAACTCACAGAGGATGGGCTGCAGTACAGATGCGTTTGCTTCATGAACTAGTCTATGCTTCCAGAAGAATGGGCAATCCTGCTCTATGCGTCAGGCATCTGTCTTTCCTTCTCCAGACCATGCTGGATTTTCTTTCTGATCAAGGTATGACTTTTTAACAAAGGAGATATCTGTATTTTTTTCTGTCCTACAGTCAAGTAACGTGGATTTGTTTTGAAATATAGTTAGTTTGAGAAGTAATGGAGAGCACAGACGTTAGGGAACTCTTTGTATGCATGAGGTAGTTTGTTGATGGTAATCAATCACATATACAGTGTTGTTAAATATTAGTGTTCTGACCTTGATGTGTAGTATCTAAAATAAAATTTCTTTTAATGTTTTCCATCTGTAGATTGACTGCCTCAAGCTTCATGCTCTATTTCTTCTGTAAATATTAAGAATATGACCAGAGGGCTTAATTTGCATGTGGATTAAAAAAAATTATTTTAAAATACTAGCAGCCTTCATAAGCGCTATTAATGAAGAGATTGAGAGGAGTTGAGGATGACAAGTAAATTCAGAAAAGAAGAGTGTACGGTAGTTCAGACTGAACCTATCATGAGTTTTCTGATGAAACACTCATACTCTGGCTACAGAATTCATCTAAGGGAGTAGGCACCATCCCGAACGGGATGGAATTGAATTAAACAGTGTTTAACTACGGCAGTAGGCTTAAGTTTCTGTAAGTTTCTATGGTTTCTTTAAAAAAAAAATAATTCAGCAATAAATTTCTGTGGGATTTATTAAATTTGTCAGTGGATGACAATGGAATGAATGTGTCTGTGGATGATTTTTAGAAATGGTAATGATGTGTGTGAGGACCCTTTTGCAGGGGAGAGCTATGCAGCATTTACAAAGCCACCTGGAAAAGCAAAAGGTGACAACTACTATGTTTGTATTATATTTCTTAGGAAAGATAGTTCAATGGGGTTTGTTTATCACCCATATTAATGAGATTAACTAGTGATGAAAGGTTTTAAAAAAATGTTTTTACAGTAAGCCGGGTAAAAGGGGCATTTTTTTTTTCAGTTATTCCCACGTTTATGATAAAGAGGATGGGAGTAAAATGGTGTATATATTTTTTTTTTTCTTTTCTCTTTTCTCCTGTAGTTATGGTCAAACATCTCTCCTTGGTGGCTCCTGCAGCAAAGAAATTTAGGTCTTTGCCTGACAGTGAATTCCCTCTGTTTAGTGTTTTTTTTTTTTTTTTTTAATTTGGGAAATAATGTACATTTTTCAGTGCTTCTCAGTATACCTTTGCCATTAAGATCTTCTTGTCCTGTGACTGTTGCTGTGCTTTAGTTCTTTTCAGCCTTCTAGCGAGGTGACAGGCTTCACATCTGAGATCTCTACTGCTCCGTCTGTTGTGTACTTAATTAATTAAACTACTGACCCTATGATGATTCTGCCTTGCATTAAACATGCGTAAATAGTTTTTCTTCTGTTGACCAGTGTTCTGTATGTCTTTATTCTTGAGATGATTGACAATATGTGATGGAGCGAACAATATCTAGAAGTACTTCCTGAACCATCCTAGGGTGCCTGTTGTTCCGGTGTGTGGAATGCATTCCAGCTGCATCCTCTGTTACCAGACCTTAGGACAGAGGTTGGTTCCCAAAGCACTTTGGCAGGGGTTTGAGATAGTGGAGGCTAAAATGAAGGTGCACCTTGGCCTTCTGACACCAGTTCTACCTGTTTGTGCTGGAGAGTCAGCAGGCAAAGGTAACAAGACAAATGACAGGGTTCCTTATTTTTTCTTCTTTCCATCATGGTTATTGATTTTGGGTACAGCCTACATGATTGTCTGAGCTCTGTTGTGTCTCAAAACATCTGTTGTGCTGCTCTTATCATCCCTAGATTAACACAAATACTCTCTTCAGAAACAGAACCATGTTGGCTAACAATTTGAAGAACAACCATGTGGCCTCTCATGTAGGTACATTTTTACCTTTCAACATCAGAAAGACAGAAAATAGTGGATATCATGTAATTCAGAGTCTTTCTATGATGACCTTTGCCTTTAGTCTTTTCAGCAGCAGCAGTGACCAAAAATAAATAGACCAAGTTCCATAGCTGTAAGCACAAAATATCTGTCAGCTTGGCAAATAAGATACACGTATTCCAGTTTTGTTGACCTGGTTATCAGGGCTTCTTTGCTCATGGAGTATAAGATTTTGAGCAATTCTAGCTTATTTATCTTTCTACTGATGTCATGAAGAAATTTGTTTCAGCCCTAGCAAACTAAAAATGATATCCTGGGCTTCATTACAAATACCCCTTTGAGAGAAGCTTGTCCTCCCCAAAGTGGATACTCATCCCTCTGGCCACAGTCATTGCTTCTTCTGAAAGACGTGAAATCTTCAGTGAGAGGCTTGTTATGACCCCTCTCTTCAACCAGAGGACAGATGAGGTCCTGCATGTGACGAAGGAGTTAGGGGGGTTTCCTTGCTGTAGCTGGATATTTTATCTTTAGAAGCAAACCTTGTCAACAGAGTTCATCAGTCTCCATTAGGAAGGATTTGGTGTGTGAATTTGCGTTTTCAGTGTGTCTACTTCATATATCTCCATACAGGCACTGCACAGGAAATAACCATGGATTGGCTGAGACCATTACTTGGTCAGGAATTGTTTTTATGGCTTATCTCAGATAGCAACCACGTGCCATGCCTGCACTTCGTCAGTAGGATGGTAAAAACATAGAAAAATCCAAAAGGTTTTTTGTTCCTTTCAAGGTCCTGAGTTGAATTTTCAGAAATATCCATAGTGTGAATTTCATAGACATGATTCTGAACTCCAAGGTGGCAGGATTCTATCCCTACTTCAGTAATGGCTATTACTTCGTACTTCAAAATCATAAGCTGTGTTGATCCATGCCATGTAAACCTTTTCACATGGAAACAATCTCTCACCTTCCAGAAGATGCTTATTCTCAGCCTGTGTGGAGGTCATCCTCCCTGATGAATTTCTGCCAGAATTCATGCTGAATGCTATTTCAGTTCCCCTCATACTCTAGATCAGTTTTGATGGATTTGTCAGTGTTGGCTGAGCAGACCACTTTGATGCCTTGACAGCTTAGAGTAGTTGGTCGTTGGTGGACAGGGACTGCATGCCAATAATCTTTCAGATCAGAGATCGCTTTCAGAACCTTTTCACCTTCCTTTCAAGACTGCTGGGCTCAGGTGATGGCTGACATGTCAACTGCCAGGGTGAGGTCTCTGCCTTTTGCAAAGAAGTGACGAGCTTGATCCAAGAAAAAATCCCCAAACCTTGTTTATCTTTAGAAATTATGGTTAAGCCTGGACTGATCATAATTTGATCATGTCAGACATGGTGTCTGACAACTCGTCAAATATGCCTTTCTATGTCACAGCTTGAAAGGGGAAACTATGTAGTATTTAACAGACATTTTCATTTATAGAACAGATTGCATATGCACTCACTTGGTGATATTTAAATTTCCATTTGCTGTGCAGAAATATAAGAAATAAGAATATTAAACAGAGCTCATAAAAATGGACAGCTAGACCAAAAGTGAATATGTAAATGCCCTTAAGTGCAGCTCTTCTGACAAGACTATATTGGCAGTAGTAAAGAGCAGACTCAGTTTCTGAGGAGCTTTACTTAAAGCATTGTTCTGAATTTCTATCCTGTTGTGCTTTAACCCTGTCTGGCAATGAAGCCCCACACAGCCTTTTGCTCAGTAGCCCCCAGTGGGATGAGTGAGAGAATAACAAGAATAAAAGTGAGAAAAGTTGTGGGTTGAGATAAAGACAGTTTAATAGGTAAAGAAAAAGCCGTGCATGCAAACAAAGCAAAACAAGGAGTTCATTTACTGCTTTCCAATGCCAGGCAGGTGTTCAGCCATCTCCAGGAAAGCAGGGTTCCACCACGCATAACGGTTACTTGGGAAGGCAAAAAGCCGTAACTCCAAATGTCCCCCCCTTCCTCCTTTTTCCTCTAGCTCTATAGGCTGAGCATGGTGTCAGATGGTATGGAATATCCCTTTGATCAGTTGGGGTCAGCTGTCCAGGCTGCGTCCCCTCCCAGCTTCTTGTGCACCCCCAGCCTACTCCCTGGTGCGGTGGGGTGAGAAACACAAAAGGCTTTGACTGTGTGTAAGCACTGCTCAGCAGTAACTAAAACATCCCTGTGTTATCAACACGTGTTTTCAGCACAAATCTAAAACGTAGCCCCATACTAGCTACTATGGAGAAAATTAACTCTACCCCAGCCAAAACCAGCAACCTCTCCCCCAGCCAAAACCAGCACACACTCAAACACCTGGGAAAATTAAATCAACCTGCACGGGCACTTGGTGAGTTATACTTCCCCACACAGGTTTGACTATGTATGTTCCATCTAGCTTTATCCTGTTCTCTTGTTTATGTCTTGCTATGACTTTATGATTTTTCCGTGTTTAGACTGCTGTGGAAGGAGTTCTTGAAAGCCTCAGCTCATTTTCTTTAGTTTGAGCTGGTTGCTCGCTATTGCTCCCTTCTGTTCACTGTTCCTCCTGCCTATTCCCATAGTGCTCCTCATCTTTTTTTTCTCCTGTTCTTCATATTTAGGTCACAAGAAACAAGACTGTAAGTTACAGAAATAAAATATAAAATTATAAAAATAAAATATAGGTTAAACAAATATAAATGCCTGATTTTAAAATAAACAAACCATCTTGACAGTAGTAATAAGCTTTGAGAGGAGATACATAAAAGTGAAGAAGCTAATTGGAAGAAAATAAAAGGAGTGGTACATTTGCTCGTAGCATGGAGACTGCTTAAATATGTCATAGGAGATTCTCAGTAAGTGTGTTCTCCTTCATAAAAATAATTAAGAAATAATTAAAAAAACAATGGTAGTTAAACAGCAAAAAAATGCAATTGAGGGAGGAAAAAAGAAGTTTGCTGTATAAAAGTGGATGTTGTATCCAGACATAGAAAGTAGAAGGGAATGTCAGCCCTGATAAATTAAATGAGGAAAGGGAGGAACATAAGCCCAGAAGAGATTTTGAGGTGCAACTTGCTGTTGTGGTTTAAACCCAGCTAGTGGTGAATACCATGTAGTCACTCGCTCACCCTTCCCCAGGGATAGGGGAGAGAAAGGGA